TATCGAAATATCGGAAATGTGTTTAAAAATCATATCACCGTTATTGAAAAAAATTATATCGCGATACATATTGATATTGAATTATTGTCCAGCCCTAGATCAAAGTTTGGGTTGTTTAGACTCAGTGGGAAGCAGAGAGGTAATTCTAATATTGTGCAAACCACAGCTGTTTTTATTGAATGCGAGCTCTCTGTTGCAGAACAGTATCGATCGAAAGCAGTGCGTTTTACACTTCTGTCATTCTTTCATCCAGTCACTTCTCTTTCTGTCAAAAATGCAAACTTTTTAAATCATCTCTTAGAAACTTTGAGAAATGTTGTTGTGCCTTTTCATGCAGTTGCAGTGATGAGGACTAGAGCTTTCAATTTTCAAAAAAGCTACAAAAGCACCACAAACGTAAAATGGTCCATATCGTTTGTTTGTGCATTATGTTCAAAGTCTTCATTAAAATTCATAAAAACATCTTCTTTATTTACTTCTTTACAATAATAGGGCCCTATGAATTTCCTTTCTTTTGTGTATTTAAAAAAGAAAAAAAAAACTGAGGACTGTTTTCTGTTTCAGATGAATATTTTTGGTTGCCGAATTTACATAATTCATGACCACCTTGGCTCTCCACGGCACATTTATGACAGAATAAGTGAAGTCTGATTTATGAATCATTCTTTGGAGTCGAATCTTTTCATTGAATCAGTAGATTCAGTTCACAACACTGTTTTGAATGATTAGTTATCCGGTTTACTGGAGAGGAAAATGATCAGCGAATTATACTGGTTAGTTTCTTACATAATCGCATGAATTCTGAAGACTTAAATTCTAGTGCACAGGTAATATGGACCGCTTTTTGAGTTTCATGCTGCACTAGTTTTAGTGTGAACCTCACACAGCGATGCTTTCGTTTCATTCCAGCGTCTTTCTATCTGGTTTATCCCAGCATCTCTTTAGCCCTTCATGTTGTGTTTCTCCTGGTCTGAGATGGATTGTGACCTTCCACAAAACCACTAAGCCTCTCTGCCTTCACTTCATATAAGGTTTATCAGTGCTGTTGAAGGCATTGTATTCCTCCGGCCAGGGCCGTTTCTAGGTATAGGCGAGCTAGGCGGTCGCCTAGGGCGCCACCAGCTGAAGGGGCACCAATGAGCGCACGTACTGGCACTTTTAGCAGGGTTGTGATAAAGAGTGGCACGGTAACCCTGGTTACTTTTATGCCACTGATAAAGCTTTTATATGTAAAAGGGGTTTTATAGGTTTGACTGAAATAATAATGCAATAACTGACACTTTAAATCAATGTTTCAAGAAACAACAACAAAAAAATTGAACAAAAAAACAAAGACAAAAAAGTAGCCATTGATAATATCTAAACAATATGTAGTAGTATAGTATATAGTATCTAAATTAAAATGTAATAAAATTAATTTATGTGTAAATTATGTGCAATGTCTTAGCCACTAGGGATTGTTACATAGGGCTATACAGGCATCTAGTGGCAACACAATGATATTACAGATACTAAATTGTGCAAAATGTTTATCTTAACAGTCAATTTACAAATAATGCATTCAGATTTGTGGAACTCAATGCACTGAATCTCCACAAATTAGTGTCGTTACTATGACAACCAATTTGAATGTGACAAGCAACTGGTGTCTGAAAAGAATTATATATATATATGTATGTAATTGGGGGGGGGGCAATAGGGATTTCGCCTAGGGTGTCAAATTGGCTAGAAACGGCCCTGCCTCCGGCTGATGCTTTGAGCGGACTGTCTGCGCCTCTGATTTTTGTGTTGCACTGTAGTCTGTTCTTGTAGAGCTCAATTTGCTGCTCTTTACACTCTGTGCAGCAAGGACTTAGATTAAATCCTGGCTTAGATCCTGCCTAGTCTTTGACTAAAGGAAATAGGGGATCAGCGGTGAATGAATTTATTTCCTTATGCTTGTTTGTTGCTCGGCTGTTCGAGAGGAAATTACTGGAGTATTCAAATGTATCTTTGTGTATCTTTTTATCCCGCCTTATAGCAT